CTTAGGGCGGGTGACCATCTTATGATTGAAGATAAGCACCGAAAGCTTTCCTGGTGAATGGAAGTGAGGCGTTCGGAACCTATTCTAGTAGAGGAACCAACCCTAAGAAAACCTGACCAAAAGATAGCTACGTTCCCGTCACTAACGTTACTTCGGAGTATGTGGCTGATCCGCTGAGAAAAGACGGGAAGGCAAACAGAAAGTACCACTTTTCTTATCTTAAGTTAAGATGAATCTATTGAAGAGTCAAGGTTTCCAATGAGCACGGATGAGGCGAAGCATCGATCCCTAACAAGCGAGGTAAGCGCACGGATACAAAGGAATCTTAGTCTATGTCTTGGTCACCCAGAAAAGTATTCAGAGATAGTTGAATTGAGGGACCTCTACTTTACGTACCTCTGTAGTCTTAAGAGAAAGTAATACACTCAGTCTCACCGTTGGAGGATTTAGTGGAAGATCTAGGGCGTTAGCCAGAAGCCCATAGAGAGAGAGTCAAAAGCCTATAGCACTGCAGGAAGACCAAGGTCTCGATCGACAGATCTAGTGGTCACTCACCGTCAATATTTGATTCTACGGCCTATGCTGATAAATTCAAATAGCAATAAAACAATGTTCCTGGGGAAGCCCTAGCCTTGAAACAAGGGGCTTTACTAATATATATAGAAATGGAAATCTGATAAAGATGCCTAGTCTGCGCTGTTAGAATCCATTGGAGAAAGGCTTGCTCACTTCTTCATCTGTGAGATACTCGTATTATAATAATTTAGAATAATGGGATTGGACCTTAGCCGCTCGGGAATAGAATCCTTCACCACCAGGAAAGGCAATCGCCACGACGCTGACATCTTTTCATACGTACTAGACCCGGAGGCAAATTCGGAAGAAGCCGCTTACACGACTTCCAATACAGACAACTCAAGCAAGAGGTTTGACATCACTCCTGCAACTGCAAGACAAAGACTCAATCAAGAACCAGAGAAACTGAAATCAACCTTAGTAAAAGACTAGCTAGCCACATCCCCTGACTCTCAGTCTCAGTCAACTCAAGGTGAGAAGCGAAAGGCCAGCAACTGCACTAACTGAGGGACACATTGAAAGCAAAAAAGAAATAGAACTTAGACAAAGAACAATAATACGATACTGAAATCCGAGTCGGCAATGGGCCGGAGAAACATTCACTCGTTAGCGACTCCTACTAAACAGCCAGACAGAGAAGGAAAGCAATGGAGATTTTTCTATTATCTATTATACATTCCCTGAGAAAGGAAAGCCTTCGCATACTCGCCCTAGCTCTGAGGCCTTGTCAATGACTTTATTGCTTGGGTTAGTTGCCCTGGGTCAAAAGGGGACTACTCCTGAATCACATTAAGTATATAGGAAACGTAAAGGGAGATGGGAGCATCTCTCCATCCGACTTCTTCCTCTCACTCGGCCATCTCTCCCACATCATCCTATTATTTACCAAAAACTGACTGAGTGAATAGCGAGTTTTCATAAACCTAATAAAGTCAGGGTCGCTCATTGCTTCCATCCTCCTTTCCAATTTCATTGAAGCAACTCAAAGCGAGGTTAGGAAGAGAGCAAGCAGTGTCTCCTCAACGTTGGTGGGCCCGGAAGGGAAACCTCGGATTAAGCCAATTGCTATCATATCTCGTCGCATGGTGAAAGGCGAAATGCAGCGGTACCACAAGTGCTCATTCATTGGTCCAACCTAGAAGCTACTTGGGAAGACTATGAATTGATTGCAAGTAAGTATCATGGACAAGGAGGATTTTTAGGAGAAAGGAGATCCTCTCTCAACCCAATAGATGCAATGTAGGAAGACTAGTATCTTTAGTCCATGGGTGTAACACCATAAGATGGGATTGATGGTAATCTATCATAAATAGTTTCCCTTTTTGTCTAGATGACGTCCCCACGGTGTCTATAATTTATGTCAACCAATAAGAAATACCTGAAAGAAGATGCGTAGGCCTTCAATCATGGTGCAATGAATATCGTAGATAGAGTGATGGAAGAAGTTCGATCTCATATAGCTAGCTGGAGTCTTTCTTTTCAAAGTGAAACGATTTTCCTTTTACGTTGAGATATTTGAATTGGATTTTCTTTCACCACTACTATCGTAACGCACAGAAAACACTGACGTTTCCGCTCGCTTTCAACCACTGCCACTTTACCTGAGCACTGTGACGCAGTCGGTCAAGTATTGAGGCTAGTATATCAAGGACTTATGAGAACTGAAAAGAAAAAAACTAGGCAAAGGAATTATCAAAGTTCATTGAGTTAAGGGAGGACCATTCGTGGGGGGTTCGTGGAAGAGTTGGGTTCGATTCCCTTTATACGCGATGTGGCGAAAAAGACTGATTCAACGAAATATGCCTGCATTAAGATTTAAAACGTGCCGTCTACTTCCAGGAAATGTTCGGAACAGAGAACTTTCTCTAATCCAACGCCGCATTCTCCGAAGATTGAGGAACAAGAGGAGATCCATTAAAAGAAATCTTTCTCAGAGAGAAAATCTAAACAGTAACATCAAATCACAAACTACACGAAAGTTGTCCCTTTATTATGGGGATTTACCCATAAGGGAGATGCACAGAGGAAGAGAACGAACTTCATATATCCCTTTTTTACTCAATCAAGAAACAAGATCGGACGTGATTCCGGTTCGTCTCCGTTTTAGTGACACTCTTCCTCAAGCAAGGCAGCCGATAAGTCATCGAAGGGTTTGTTTGAATAATGGACTGGTAACCATTACTCATTTTAAAGTTTCCCATGGTGATCTAATATCTTTTAAAGAAAATGACGCGAGAACCCGCGGTGAAGAAATAAGGAGATCTTTCTATATCGACATATCAGTTGGAAAAATCATAGGCAAATTCCTACCGGTCAGAATCTGGAGAAGAACAAAAACAGAATGGTTCCGCTTACTCACAACTCAGAGGGGATGCCGCTTACTACTCAAATCCGGGTTTTTGCAAGAGTTGCGTTCTTATATGCAAGAAGAAGACTTAGAAAGAACAAAGAAGTTTGGATCCGCAAAAGTATGCTTAGGCAGTTCCTTCGCTGAGCACAACAGAATGAAGAGGAATTTGTTTCATTTCAAATACTTCTTCTTATGGAAAAGAAGGAAGGAGGAAGAGGAATTGATAAGAACAATAGGGGAAGCGGAATGGAAAAGAAGGAAGGAGGAAGAGGAATTGATAAGAAGGAAGGAGGAAGAGGAAGGGGTAGAGGAGATCCTCAAAGTTATCGAGGAAAACGAAAACCGAAAAAGAGCAATAAGCCCTTTTGTTTACACAACAAAATTATATAGAAATTCGACCTATTGCTCCGGATCCCCGTTTACTAGGAAGATAAGAATCAAAAGGATCGAACTACCTACTCATTATTCGGAGGTGAATCATAGAACACTAAAAGCTGTGGTATCTTATGGACCTAACATAGGTCACATCCCTCACGACATAAGATTGAAAGATCCAAACCTTCCTCTTCGGAGCGGAAACGGACGTGGCCAAAACATATAAAAAAAGATCGGCCTAGTCGCTCATAGGGACATATCTATCCGGATAGAGGATAGTCTAGATCAATTTTTAGAAAAATCTCTCTCTATATAGAATAGATAGGTATCTCTGTGGATAGAGATAAAGATAGGGATCCCTATAAATCTAAATATATGGAAAAAGTGCACTTTTTTACTACTACTACTATTTCTTAGACTTTTTCAAGGAAACATCGTTTTTTCGATTTTTACTGAATTGGTCGGAGCGTAGACGAGCGAGCAGAGCCCAGGAAAGAGGTCAGATCGTCATAGAGCAGTCGACTATAAGTATAAGACTGCTGGCCTGAGAGAAGGCAGTCTCTCTCGGGAAACATGGCCCAATTTCTCTTCTTTCTTTTCACACGGGCAACAATTGGGAATAAAACAGACCATGAACATGAGTTTAAAATGTAAAAAAAAGGTCTGAAAGACTTATTCTTTTTTAAAAGGAGGATAAGATAATTTTTAGATTCTTTTTTGATGTTATTATGTGTTATTTACTACCTTTGGCTTTGGGAAAAGTTTTCTACTTTTGAAGTTCTTGACAAGTCCCAAGTGGAGGAGATTAAGAGGTCATTAAAGAATTCTTCCTTTTAGTTCTCTTCGATGTATCGATCATGCATTCCTAAACCACATAAGCCGGGGGAGATGCGCCCCATTAGACAGCCTCATAAGGCAGACATCATTGTCATGGATACGGCTTTTGAACATCGTTTTTGAAGACATCTTTCTAACGTACTCCCATGGGTTTGTGTTTACTGAGGCAGCCCCATCCTTTGAAATCCCTGCACCACATCACTCTGGAACCCAATTCATAAGTAAGGAACTGGAGAAGGAGAAGTGAACCACTGAATCTGATAGGTCTTTCAGCTTAACTATATCCAGGCCCAAAATGGATTTTCCTACTTTTTTTGAGGGTGATAATCCAGTAGGATGGACAAGACAGTGTGAGAAATACTTTGATCTTGCTTGAGTTCCTCAGGGGATGTGGGTATCAATGGCCCCTCTTCATTGTTGTGGTAGAGCTTTTAGCTCGAAACATGCCGTAGTTCCTCGCTGGGACAGGAATAAGTCGTCAAGTAGGCATATGAACGGGAAAGGCTTTTTGCACGGTATACGTCACTAATAGCCGCCAATAAGATAGCTCATCACGAGAAGTAGTTTCCAGGTTTTTTACAAATAGGCTTGTAAAGTAGCTTGGGTCACGGAAAGGCATTTGTGGTGAGGCGCCTCCGGAATCACATAAAGTATGCTTTCCAGTCCAACTCTTCAGTCCTGCTCAAAGGTTGACCTGTCCGGCGGTCCAGAAGAATCGAAGGTAAGTCAAGGCGATCGAAAGCCTACATATGGTTGAGGAGACGAAGGGAGGATTGGCTTGACAAAAAACCTCCAGGTTCAGTTCGGCAGCCTTGTGGGCTTTGTGGAAATTGAGAAATGAGCTCTGTTTTCAGAATGGGGCATGGCGCAGCATGTCTACTTTGATGAGAAGGGTGTTGCTTATGCTGTCGAACTGGAAGATACTATGCCCGGTCAAGCATCTGGAGCGAGCTACGGATGACCAAGTTGGAACAGCTGACAAGAGCTCCGGCAAGAATTTATGGCAGGAGAAGCTGATAACTCAGAATCGTTTTCACCTGGTTGACCTGTAAAATCAGTCGGGTATAATACCTATGTAGAAGGGTTTTCCATTTCTTTCGGTAGGCTTCAGGAAAAGAGGTTGGTATACTTTTCAGAACTCTAATGGTTTTTGACCAACCAAAATGGCGAGTTTGGGCTGTAACTGATTGTGACTTTTGATCCTGATGCAATGCAAATGGACCGGGGTGTTATCCCTGGAACTCTAAAAATAAAAGGTTGCTACATTACTTATCTAAGTATCGAAGTATGAAAGGGCAGGCTTCCAGCTATTCAAGTTGCAGGGTAAAGGAAGGCGCGGAGCGAAAAAGCAACTGGCTAAAAAGAAATCCACTAAGCAAGATAGCTTCCATCTAGATAGCATTTTACTAGGCATTTTTACACTTCACTAGGAGGGTGAAGGAAAGTCGGATGAAAGTGATCCTAATGGAAGCGAAAGCACTCGTTCTTGCCAATGGAATACCTTCATCCCTTGTATTGAAATATGATTTATTGAATTCGGAGCGCAGCTACGGCCAAGGAAATACCCCGATTTAGTGGACTAGTTAAAATAATTAATTCAAAGCGAAGAGGCTCGAAACATTAAACAAGCAAAGGTTTTTGCGCTTCTTGGCTCGAAACATGCCGTAGTTCCTCGCTCTAGCTAGAAAGCCGTTGCGCGTTAGCGCATCCGTTTTCTTGCTCGTATAGCGTTAATAATGTCACGCGCAGCCCTACTTGATTTCACATTACTTAATATCGGTTTCCAACTTTCTTTTTGATTTTTCTAATTATGTGATAATTATTTAAACCAATCCTACTACTTAGCGTCCCCGGGTTTCCACAATTGAAGAAAAAAGCGCAGGGCGTATTGATCAAATCCAATTATTGGACCCGTGCTGGATATCACTTTTCCCCAGGGCAAGTTGCCTTAGATTTCTAACGCTTTGATAGTCAAGAGTCGAGAGACTGCCGATGATAAGCAAATTAATGTTACTTGTGAGGTACAACAAAACAATTATTAGGAAATAATAGAGTTAGAGCTGTAGCTATGAGTGCTACAGACGGGTTGATGAGAGGAATGGAAGTGATTGACACGGGAGCTCCTCTCAGTGTTCCAGTCGGTGGAGCTACTCTCGGACGAATTTTTCACGTTCTTGGGGAGCCTATTGACAATTTGGGTCCTGTAGATACTAGTGCAACATTCCCTATTCACAGATCCGCCCCTGCCTTTATCGAGTTAGATACGAAATTCTCTATCTTTGAAACTGGTATTAAGGTGGTCGATCTTTTAGCTCCTTATCGGCGTGGAGGAAAAATCGGACTATTTGGAGTCTTTTTTTTTAGGTAAAACAGTACTCATCATGGAATTAATCAATAACATTGCTAAAGCTCACGGAGGCGTATCCGTATTTGGCGGAGTAGGGGAACGGACTCGTGAAGGAAATGATCTTTATATGGAAATGAAGGAATCTGGAGTAATTAATTCAAAAAATATTGAGGAATCAAAGGTAGCTCTAGTCTATGGCCAAATGAATGAACCGCCGGGAGCTCGTATGAGAGTTGGTTTAACTGCCCTAACTATGGCGGAATATTTCCGAGATGTTAATAAGCAAGACGTGCTTTTATTCATCGATAATATCCTTCGTTTTGTTCAAGCAGGATCGGAAGTATCCGCCTTATTAGGGAGAATGCCCTCCGCAGTGGGTTATCAACCTACCCTTAGTACAGAAATGGGTTCTTTGCAAGAAAGAATTACTTCTACCAAAAAGGGATCTATAACTTCGATCCAAGCAGTTTATGTACCTGCAGACGATTTGACCGACCCTGCTCCTGCCACAACATTTGCACATTTGGACGCTACTACCGTACTTTCCAGAGGATTAGCTTCCAAGGGTCCCGCAGTAGATCCTTTAGATTCAACCTCAACTATGTTACAGCCTCGGATCGTTGGCAACGAACATTATGAAACTGCGCAAAGAGTTAAGGAAACTTTACAACGTTACAAAGAACTTCAGGACATTATCGCAATTCTTGGATTGGATGAATTATCGGAGGAGGATCGTTTAACTGTAGCAAGAGCACGAAAAATCGAGCGGTTCTTATCACAACCGTTCTTTGTGGCAGAAGTTTTTACTGGTTCTCCAGGAAAGTATGTTGGTCTTGCAGAAACAATTAGGGGATTTCAACTAATCCTTTCCGGAGAATTAGACGGCCTACCCGAACAGGCTTTTTATTTAGTGGGGAACATCGATGAAGCTAGCACGAAAGCTATAAACTTAGAAGAGGAGAGCAAATTGAAGAAATGAAATTAAATCTTTATGTACTGACTCCTAAACGAATTATTTGGGATTGTGAAGTGAAAGAAATCATTTTATCTACTAATAGTGGCCAAATTGGTGTATTACCAAACCACGCCCCCATTAACACAGCTGTAGATATGGGTCCTTTGAGAATACGCCTCCTCAACGACCAATGGTTAACGGCGGTTCTGTGGAGTGGTTTTGCGAGAATAGTTAATAATGAGATCATCATTTTAGGAAATGATGCAGAACTGGGTAGTGACATTGATCCAGAAGAAGCTCAACAGGCACTTGAAATAGCCGAAGCTAACTTGAGTAAAGCTGAGGGTACGAAAGAATTGGTTGAAGCGAAGCTAGCTCTCAGACGAGCTAGGATACGAGTCGAGGCTGTCAATTGGATTCCCCCATCCAATTGAAGACAATCCAAAGGTTTCGTTGATACAAAGAAAAAGGAAAGAAGGGATCTCGTTCCTAGAGACCCAGAGATGAATGAAACTGATATTCACTGTTATATGTAACAAGCAAGTTGATATATATATGTAGCTTTTTCAGACCTGACTGACATGTAGGTAGCTTGTTTGTATCTATTTTAAACAGGCGGGGTTCAAATGTGGCATTTCTATAAAATGAGTCAACGTCATGCTTATCCTAAACAACCAAGCTCCCCCTTGCCCCTACTTAAAATCAGGCTCTTCCTGACTCCTTTGCGGATTGGACGAAGGCTTTGCGGAATTGTTCTTGTCTTGCCTTGAGCTCACGACTGATAGATGTATAAGCCTGGTCATTGCCAGACTTTCTCTTTCTCCATCTAAAGATGCCTCATCTTGGTACGAACTTTTTGTCTTCTTAAGTCTGAATGCTGATAGGTGGTTCTGCCTAATTCTCTCTTTTTCTATCTTTGATGGACCAAGCGAGTCTTATAGAATCTTATGCCGACCCCTTTCTTTACCGGTCATCAAGGCTTTGACCCTGGCGCTCGATCTCGGGCCTGTGCTTCAGTGAATGGTATGGATTTCTAACTAATAATGGTGGTGATGTACCATTCCATTCTTTATGCGCTGACTCGAGGTCTCTTCTTTTGATTTTTGGAATCCTCTACGAGGGGGTTCGATATTCTTTCTGCTAGTCTTTCTTTTTTTAGCCCTGATGAGTACAGTTTTCTATTCATCTATGGATGGATTCTACCGTTCATCCGGGGGCTACCAATTGCTTAACCAACCCGATTTTTTACTTCCTTACAGAAGAATGATAGACGGAAGCAGAATCAAGGGATCTTCTTGGTATGGTTGTAGGTCGGCGAGATGTCCAGTTTGTCTGTATGAGCCTAATAAACAAGCCTATGGGTACACAGTCAACCCGAGCTAAAGCTATTTATGAAGAGTGGCGGTCACAAGCATTGAGCACCGATATCTAAAAACAAAGCGTGGATAAACCGAACCTGGAGAATCAAGCGTCGGACAGCCAAGCCACTATTTCGCTTTGATCGAACAGAAATAGGATAGAGCTTTAGTACTCGATCGGTATGGGGAGAGGGAGTTTACTTGAGGGTACTGACTTGCCTATACTAAATAAAGGAAGAGTCCGCAAAGCTGAGCTTTCGGTTCGCTCCCCAGGCCTTCAACCCTGTTTGCCTCCTTTCTCTTGCTTGATGGAATAGTTCAATGCCCGAGCTCCAGCTTTGCTTGCGTTCTTCACCGGCGCTCGCCGGATGTATCACTCATCCCGAAAATAAGGCAAGGAGTCTGCTGTTTGTTTGTTATAATCATTACGGGAATGAATCGCATATGTTGGTTTAGAATTGCTCGGGAATTCATTGATAGTGACTTTTTTCAGTTCTAGGGGGGCTAGTCTACTCCTCTTTTTTCTCGATCGAGCCGCTTTCCCTCATTCTACTCGTCCAGCCCTCTTCACGAACTTGTACAATCAATGCCACAAAGATAGCAAACTCGATTATCGAATATATAAGGAAAGGGGCGACGATTTGGCACCAGATATCCGGAGGTGTGGAAAGAGCTGCTGTGATAAGCGGAAAAACCATCAAAAAACGACGATTGCTCGTGAAGGTTTCCACAGAAAGACCCCTTGGTTCTGGCAAACAGATCACAATTACAGGTACCTGGGAGCATACCGATGGAATGAACAAAATACGAACAGTTAACATAATATAGTCATAGATCTTAGGTTGTAACTTGATCATGAGCGAATTTGTTGATGTTGCACCCACGAAGTATGGAAAGTGCCAAACATTGGGAACTACCCGGGGAGGAGTTAGGAACAGGAACAAGGAGAAGCGAGAACCACTTAAATGGAGGAATCTATTGTATTTCTGCCTTTGTTCCCCATAGCAACTGGGGATCGAAAAGCACCAAATTTGATGACTTATTAAGGGAAAGACGAAGTAAGAGCATGCTATTGAAGACGTTGCAACATATGTCGGGGGGGCCTCCGTTGATTGTGTACGAACAAAATACGAGTCCAAAGGTAGGGTAAGAAAGGGTTTAGCTAATGGAGAAATTGACTCTTCCGGGAACCAGTAACGCGTAAACCATGTCAAACCAAGACCGATCAATATCCGAACGGAACGGATTCGAACTTCTCCTAGAAAAGTTTCCGGTGCGAAATTCCATTCAATGAGTAATTCAAAGGAGAAATGCATTTTCGGCATGCGGTCGGTAGGGTGTACTTCCCCCTTCCTCGCTCCGCCCCTCATCCACAAAGCTTACGAAAAGAAGGAATTCCAGATAAGGGAGCCACTTCGTGTGTATACGTGGAACTACCAAGTCTGAATTGGGCAAATAGACGAGAGACTGTGCATCAAAAGTATAAAAAGAATCTCAGAGGAGGACCGAAGAGAGTAAGTGATCTTTTTCCCTAAGCTATAAAACAGGAGTAGTCAATCCACTTGGGATACTTTCCCGCTGTGCGCCTCTTCTTTCTTCCATTGTTTCATTTTATCCCGCTCACTGCCCTATGGACCGCTTTCATCGATATTGGAATGAATTCATAAAAAATGATAACTAGGGCGTAGCGTAGTATAAAAGAGAATGAATAGTTGCCTACTTAAAGCAAGCTTTCATAGGCCATGTTACTCTTTACTCGGCTGTTCGTTCAAGAAAATCAAGTAGTAGTGCCAACAGTCTCATGCAAATAAATCGTTCATCCTTCTCTCCCAGGGTTCAACTGAGCCAGCACATCTCCTCTAAAGTCATGGTTTAAAAAAACTATTCAAAACTTATATCTCGTGCAGCATACTCACTTGCTAAACTGGCTATTCCTTTACTTTATCCACTATTCCATACAGGCATACATACCTTGCTAACTCTAAAAAAACATATCTTGGCTATTCTCCCACCTATTATACCAGTGCTTTTCTTGGCTATCCGTGACTTATCTTTACTTACCTACCTTGGCTACTTGACCAAGCCCTTGTGACTGCACTTTCCATAGTTAGCTGCCCTATACTACTACTTTACCTACTCTACTTATCACGAAATGACGCATAAAGCTATGAGCTTATCGTAACAAACCATGACATTTTCGATTCCGCCGTGACTTAATCGGTTGTGAAGGAGGGATGGTGTGGGGATGAGGATACCGGGACGTGTGATGAAAGCAATCAAAGGATTGGAATACCCTAGAAATCCTCTCTTCCCCGAGAGTCTTCCTCTTCACTTTCTATACTTTACTTTCTTCTTTGATTTTATTTGAAATACTAGTTTTATCAAAGGTCTATTCCCTCTCATTCCTCCAGGATTCAATCCTGCCCCAGGCGTACCTGATACTACGCTCATATACGTCAATTCAAGGAGTATTGGTGGAAAGGAAGCCGTTGTTTTGCCGTAACCGTTGTAGGAATCAGTTCCGAGTGGATAGAGGAGGCCTCTGACCAACAACCAATAGCTGGGCCACCGCCTGGATACATTACTAAAGCTATTCTCTGGTTTTGCTTTTCCTTATTCCCGATTCCCATAATGGAATTTTTTATGAACGATTCAAGCTTTCTTCGCATTATTAAATAGAAAATCAATCCGCATCATAAAAGTAAAGGGCGCATTGCAGATATGGGATTCTTAGATGAAGGGTTTGGTCCACGGACGTTGAGTATGCATTTGTGTGTGAGTAGTAGTTTACAAGTAGTAGTTGGTAGCTTGACAAGGGATAGGCATCAGATATTTAAGGTTGGGTTTATACACCGGTATATGTTTAATAGCCAAGATAAGCAGCTAGGTAAAGGTAAGTCAGCGGCAGGGGTTTTTTTCAAAAGCTAGATATAGAATTGTAAAGTAGAGCTAGACTGCATGATTGGATTGTATAGAAGGATAAGAAGGATTTCGAAAATCCTTCTTTTCTTAAAACTAAAGAAGAAAGAGAGTAGGCTGTGATACCACCCACCCATATAGTGAAGTGAGAAGGGGCAACGAAGCATAGAACAGACTTGACTTCAACTGAAAGTAGGAACATCCAATTCCATAAGAAGGGGCGTAACCTAAGTATCTGACGAGGGCACCAGTCTTCTTTCTTGAAAGGCTAAGGGAAGATACCTTTCACCATTGGATAATAGGTTTTCTAGTCCAGGTTGAGGAGCACATCCCCGGTAGAAAAGGAAGAAGGAAATGTAGCGCGGGGTAAAAGTTAGGAACCTTACACTCAAAGGGCTAGTAGCAGCGACTGGGAAGCAGGCATGGGAGTAGCATGAGCATGGCGATATCTTGTACCAAAATCTCGTTTCTCATTGTTTCTACTTTCGAAGATAGAATCCCGCTTAAAATTCTTATGCTTCCGCTTTAAATATTACTTGACTAGCTTATGGATCCCTAGTTGACTAGTGTTCGGCGAAAGCCCTGCCTGCAGGGGAGAAGGAATTGTTTGCGATTTGGATAAGCTTTCATATCAAAGTATTGAAAGAAGAAGTTCAGAGAGTCAAACTTTCTCTGTTGGCACGATCGACTTCAAAATACCAATGGGCAAGGCCGCGGGAAGGAATTGGTATATCACTATGGATTTTCTATATAAGTTTTCTGCTTCAAACAGTGAATACGATCTTATCTCGTCTAGCCGAATTATAACACTTCGGTTTCAGCAGGTTGGGAAGCGAAAAAAGTTTTCATATAATATAAAGAGAAGCCAAATCCTAGTCGTCCTCATCGCTACAATATGCCCAAAATCCTAGCAATTCTTTTCCACCAATGACTTACTTCTCAAAATATGGGCCAAGGAAGCAAAGAAACAGTAGCGGTACGAAGAAGGACTCACGCTACCCAAAGGGGAAAAGATACGCCATTTTGGGCTTTGGGTGTGGTACGCACCGCACAAGTGGTAAATCAAGGGTGGATTGAAGCCCTGACCTCTATCTGTCCCAATCGCACACATCTCAATGTGTGACCAGGAAGAGCCACTATGTGTGGGAGGTGCTTCTTGCTCAGATGGTCCCTTCATCTCACTAGGATGAGAATTTGGCAAACGGATTGATTGAAAGTTGAGGGAAATGGGGAGTAGTCTCTCCCCTTCTGAACCGGGAAAAAGGTATTTAAGAACCTCTCCCTATATAGTCGTATTTTCCACTGCACCGAGTGCATGAGTGAGGTTGTCGCCAGCCTTGCATACTCGACCCATGGAATTGGTCACCGGTTGGTCCTGGCCCCTACCCTTCATTCATGCATGGGTTGGTCAAGAAGTGAAAGAAGGGCGAAGCTCTCAATCCAATCAAGTTGTTTTTGCTATGCCCAAGAGAAAGTACTTTTGGGGAAGAATGAGTCCCTTACTCGGCTATCTACCATTTCTTCTCTTTCTTGCTTGACCTTCTCTTAGGACTGACCTTTTTTTCAATGCTGCTAGTGGCTTCTTGATTCAGGCGATGCATCCGGCACCACTCTTGGGGCTAAAACGTCTGTGAACAATTTAGTCCATGGAAATATTTTAAATGAATTATGTAGCAGAGAAGCTTGGCGTGCGGTCTCTTCGCCGGTTGTTACTAGCTGAACTGATTCCATGAACCTGACATTACCTGGGGTTGCTGAGGCCTTTGGGCAGCATGAGGCCCTGACGCCCCCCCCGGCTCAAGCACATAGTCGACATGTATGCTGACGGTCCTGGTATCCTTTTCGAACTGGTGAAAAATGCTGAAGATGCATCCGCATCCGAAGTTGTGTTTTTACTGGACAAAACCAAGTATGGCACCTCGTCTATACTTTCACCAGAAATGGCTGAATGGCAGGGTCCTGCTCTCTACTGCTTCAACGACTCAATTTTAAGCCCCAGGATCTCTATGCCATCTCACGCATTGGCCAGGACAGTAAGCTTTATAAACCCTATTCCATTGGACGGTTTGGCCTAGGGTTCTACTGTGTGTATCACTTCACTGACATACCGGGCTTTGTTTCCGGTGAGAATATTGTGATTTTCGACCCGCATGCTTTTGTTGACTTGCCTGGTATATCTCCCTCTCAGCCCTACGAGGAAGATATCTTTTTAAATAACATAAGTTTTCATTCAATCGATTCAAACTTACATAATAACATAAGTTTCATTCATAAGGAGAGTTTATTTAAGCTTTTCAACATACCAGTAAATGGTGGAGTCTTTGTACAAGTAAGTATTTGAGAGGCAGGGTCTGTTTTAATTACAAAAGGCATCCCTACCAAATAAAGTATCCACTTCTGTACTGCTGTCAACAAGGCTATAAATTACTTTTCATAAGTAGAGAGGAGAGGTACTTATTCTTAGTATTAAATATGAAGGCTATGGGTCTCCTTCCTTGCATAAGTACAGCACCCATTCCAACCTCACAGGCATCAGTTTCTAGAAGGGTTTAGATAAATAAGGCATTGCCAGTACAGGAGCATTACACATTGCTGTTTTTTGAGAGTTACAAAAGCTTTATCAGCTTCCCTTAAACCCATTTTAAGTAGTGAAGTTAGAGGCTTGCTGATCAACCCATAATTTTACTGATTAATTTCCTATAATACCTAGTCAAACCTAGGAAACCCCTTAGCTCACTGATTGTTCTAGGTGTCTTCCAGTTCTTCATCAAAGCTATTTTATTTGGCTACTCCTTGCTCAGAGATTACATGTCCAAGGTACTCAATTAGTTTGAACCTAAATTCACATTGGCTCTTTTCACGCTTTCTCACAAACAGATTACGAAATATATTGCATTATTTGTTAAAGTTTGGATAAACCATTGCTTCGTCTGGTTCTTTCTTTTTGTCCTTCTGCTTTCAAGAAATAAGGGCCCTTAGGCTTGTTCCCGTCTCTGGTATAGACAGAGAGAATCTTATCCTTCTCTACTCTCGTAACAGAAACTGCTTCATCGATGAGTTGATGTCTATACTCTCTTTCCCTGCTGCCAAACACATTAGGAGGATATTCTACATTGCCTTGAGGCATTGGTTGGAAGGAAGCAAGTGAAGAAAGATGGGATCAAATTGTGAATGTTCTTGGTTCGCTCGAGATATTGATTTTCCGGGACACTCTCCATTACTGTACTCCCTAAGGTGCTGGAAAGAGGTAGAAAGTAGGCCTAGGGTGGGCCTAGCGGATTTTCTCATCCTCTGCTCGTAGCGTAGGGATCAGGGGCACAGACCAGAAGCTAGACAGAAGAAGAACCTTACCAAACCAAGAGTGAGCTCTGCCCTTAATTGGGTAGAGCGAGGGATAGGTGCTAAAGATATACCTTCCTTAACATGATGTTCTAACTTGAATTTACCGAGTTCAGTTGAAGATACAAATCCTTCAGGTAGAGGGTAGCTAAGTACAACAGAGTCCGTATAGTGAGCTAGCTTAAGCATATCTTGAGCGAGTGAGTTTCCCTCCATCAAGTTCTAAGCGATCAAATAAGGTCCTTGCTCTCGAGCCAATGCCAATACCAATAGAGAGGGTCTAAACGAAGGATTCAAAGGAGGTTACCGGTTAAGGGCAAATGCAATAATCTCTAAGCCAGTTGGAGAAAAAAGGTAATCAAAGAAAGTTTCAGTTGGACTTACCCTGCCAACCCTACCCTAATTTCATACCCTGCGGTTTTCGTTCCTCTATTGATATTTCGTTCCTCTCCTTACGTCGAGCGACTGTCGTTCCCGGGTCTGAACTATTAAGTATAAAGGGTAATAAATTCCCCAAGCTCTAAAGAAGCTAGTGAAGAGGGCCAGTTCCGAGTCATGCATATCTTTCTTTAATTATTACCTTGAAAAAAAAGCAATAGCGATAGGAGAAGCGCATGCAATTGCAGAAATTGCAGAATAAAGATAAGCGCATCCAGTGTCAATAAGAGTTGTTTTTTTAGGCCGAATAATATAATATTAAAGGCCAAAAAGTAAGACTTCAGAGTAAGAGGAGGAAGGAGCTAATGCGGTTGCTGTCCTTCTTTCTGCCTTCCTCAGTTTGCGTTCTAGCTTTAGTCTTTAGTCATTTCGAGTTATGCATTTCGAATGCTCCCTTCCAAGCAAACTAACCTTGCTAAGTGCTAGCCAGGTGAAAGTTCTTATCGCTAGTAGTTTTGGTGTTCTCTTCCCTTTCATCCAATTGCAGATAAAGCAATTTCTCTCCTTCGATTGTGAGGCCCTCGCCCGCCGGAAGGTCTCTACTGCAACTGAGTTTTAAAGCTTTTACTAAGAAAATATTTTTGGCAAGTAAAGTAGGTATCAATCTGCTTGAAAGCCTGCAGGGTCAAATTTGGAGTATTTTCAGTTAGAATCTAGAGTCAGCCTATTCAGTTCTTAGCCCTTAAGGGTAAGGCAGGGGTAATATGGATAGTATCTGTAAATACTCAAACCACCTTCAACAAAGTGTTGATTTCCCGTAAAGCTAACTGTAGTCCATTAAATAAGTAGATATCTTAGGCAAGTTAGCAATCCCGTTATATTACCAAGGCCTTCCCTTCTATTGTAGAAAGAGTTCTCAGCCATCCAATTGCTGTACCAGTTGCCAGCTATCCAGTTTCATTTGAAGTTGCAGGGGGTCCAAACGAGCTAGTAGCTTTTATTCGTCCTATAAGTCCTTCCACAAGCGAGTCAATAGGGTGCTGGCTAGTTGTAGTTGTTGGCGTGCGTGGAAAGAGCGAAGGGCCTAAAAGTTTGAACTGGAAAAGATTCTCTATTACAGCAGCATATTCTCCTTCTTAGTTATCAAAAGAAAAAACTCCGTTTATGCTACACACTCAGAACTAGAAAGAAAGCTATTGAAGAGGAAGGTGCCGTCCATCAAACTGCTTGCTTCATTGAGTAGATAGAGTTTGAAGTAGAGTATGACACATCAGCGGTAGAATCATTCTTGCATATATATTATTTCATCTCAACTATTAAGATAAGAAAGAAGAAATGCCTATTTCAAGCACTGGTATAGAGCTAGCAAGATAAGGGAAAGACAAAGCAAGAAGGTTCTCCAGTAGGATGATTCTCGATGCAAGAGATTGCACTATTTAGGTACTTCACTAGCAGGAACTATTCTTTTGCAAAGAGCTTATTGAACTCCAAACATTATCTTCTTTTTATATTGTTAGAATAACCCGCTAATTAGATAGGGGCCTAGCCAATAAGAGAGCGCCAGTATGCATGCTTATGGACGGACCCAGAGAGCAGCTTAATAGAGAGAAGTAGCAGTGAGGGCGCTAAGCTGAAGGAAAAGGCTGAATGCCATAGGAAGTTCTCGATGAATAATTCACTTACTTCGTTACTGCTGATTCGACAGTGGATCATAGCTCAAAGAACCTATTCCAGTGAACTTGACTACCATTGGAAATGTCGGTGCCGTATTTTCATGTCTTGTTTGGAAGGTTTAGCCAAATAAGCGAGCTAACCTTTTACTTATACCCGCGAACTTTATGATGGAAATAGAAAAACTTGATGATAGGAATACCCGAGAGCCAGTTGTTAATGTCTTATAGCCCACGAAGAAATATTCCTTGGGAATGGAGAGACCTAGAGGAAGAACAACCTTGCCTATCTATTAAAAAGAAGTGAATTAGCACCAGCAGATTTAGTAATGTGCCAGGAAAAATTGGTACAAGAAGCCGTGGATACACTTCTTGATAGTGGATCCCCGAGCGGCAGAAGAATAACAAGGGGTTATGGTGCTCGCTTCTTTCCTCCTTCACTGCCTTGGTGACATGAACAGCCTCACTCACATACCTTCATTTCAGCCATCTCATCCCTGACTTGCATCTGTATCTATTGTCCATCTCTCTCGAATGTCCACTTCAGTGCCATTCTTTCTTCTTTTCCCCGAGCTGAGAAAAGAGCAGATCATGGTCCATTTGCCAGGTTCACTCTGGGTCTGAATAAGACTGAAAATGCTAGCCCAGCCGGCGCTTGAGGCGAGCAGCACAAGGGATGAATGGCAGCTATCGAACGAACTTTGAAGAAAAGAGCAAACCCTGCCTGGATGACTGGAACTAAGGGATCGACCACACGGCCTAACATGGCCCTTCCTTCCCGGAAAGAACAACCCGTACTTCCCCCTCCCGAAGTGATAGCAGGGCTAGGCTCATCATAGGGGTTGTTCTATTGGCTTGACGAGGGAGTCTCACGAGTGCAGCAGGAAGCATCAAAGGAGGAAGCTGCTGGGCCATTTACTATTCGGATTGATGAAAATCGGATTCATGCCCAGAAGAGGATGCTCTATCTGCTCTCGAAGCAGTCGTCAGCCTAAAGTAAGGTTTGAAATCCTTAGGTTGAGCCTAGCCCTTTTCGGAATAGAATGCGAAGAAAATGGACTAAAATCCCGCCGTGAAAGTGGCACAAACCAGGATATCCTATTGTTTGGAAAAAGGCATTAGCCAATCCCAGGAACGGAGCGTAGAAGGTATGAGTTCGACACTCGGTTAGCCCATAAGCTTTAAGGAGGAGAAGACTAGCTGGCATTGGCTCTTTGCTTTAGGGACAGTCGATCAAGGGGATGAGGGAAAATGGCAGAGAATGTAGAAGATAGCCACAGATAAAGGCTTTCGGCAAAGAAGGTTACGGCAGAATAAGCTGTGAGGTTTGGATTGGACAAAGAAAATGCCTTTCTATTTTACTGTTGTTTTTTTACAATGAATTCTTTCATTTCTAAGACCCGCTGTGTGAGCTACGCGGTTCTACTTGATTTGTCAAATCCGGTAGATTGGTATTCCATTGCAACATTCTAAACCAAGCCAAATTACACTTAAGGAAGGCTTATCTATGATTCAAACTAAAAGCTAACACTGTGTGTGACTAACAGATGGTTGTTGATTCGTTCATGGTATGATAAGCTTCTTCTTCATGAAAACTCCTCCTTTGGCTTTTCAAAGCATATAACACTTATAACCAGATAGCGCTCCAGGTCGAATCTATCGTTCTGGAATTCTTCACTTCCACGACG